AAAGACCCCTTTAAGACTAGGGGACACCCCGCCGCCCGCCGCAACAGCCGCCAAGAGTCAAACATCACGTCTGAGACCTTCTCCAGCTTTGAAATGGTAAATCTCCGTATTACATACCGTGAACACAACCTCCTTTCAAGCCTCCTGTACTTCTTCCTGCCATCAGATCTATCCTTCAGCCCCCAGGTCTTCTAGCTCCACCTCCAGGCATCAGCTCTCTATATACATCCTTCTCTACCTGACATAATCCACACCGCCCATGGCCTGGGCCCTCACCCAACTTCCTCCATCGTTTGCCTCTTCTCTGTCTTCATATAGGATGTTGGGGTCTGCCAGGGGATAGTCACAAGCCATTGAACTGGGTGGTTCTGCTTGGGCTGCCTTGGGGGTGACTTCTTTCTCTCCTGCTCCAAGGCATCAACGAATCCTTTTGGTTCTACCAGAAAAATAATTTAGAACCAGACCACTTCTTACCACCTCTCTCATGAGCATCCTCTCTCCTCTGCCACTGCCATAGCCTTGGCTCCCCACTTCCATCTCAGATCTGTTCCTTGGAGTCCATGCTCACAGCACAGCTGATGAATGATCCTGTGAAATGCTAAGCTCATCTTGTACCTCTTCTGCTTGAAGTGCTCCAGGGCTTCCCTTCTTCATCCCAGGTGGAATCCCCATCCCTGTACTGGGGTCCCACATGATCCGCCCCATGGCCCCTGGGAGCTCCTCTTCACCTTCTCTCCTCCCCATCCCTCTCCACCACAGGGACTTCCTTTCTCACCTTCAAACACACCAGGCATCTCTGTCTTGCTGCTTCTCTATCTGGAATGATCTTCTCCCCAGGTATCTGAGTGTCTGCCTCCTTTACTCTCTTCCCAGTTAAGACTCTGCCCTCTGCACTATGTATCCCATTTCCCTGCTGCTCAGTCTCCATAACACACATCACCACCTGAAATATTTGTTTTACTGTCCTCTGGAGTTTGTCACCTTTACTGAAACCCGAAACTGGAAGGTAGGGGTTTTGTCCCCTAATACCTAGACCATGTATTTAGTTGGGGCTTAATATATGTTGTATGATTTGACACATTTATGGAATCTCATTACACAGTTGTTGAAACTAAATTCTGAGTCTAATTATGGCTCTTTCTGTAGAATCTTATCCCAGGGCTCAACAAACGGCAAAGGAAGGAAGGGACAAGAATTTATGTTTGGCATCAGGAAAGAAAGATGGATGTGGGGGGAGTGATGGATGAGAGCTAGCCTTCATTTAGTGAAGCTTCGCAGGGAACTCTCACAACGCCATGCCCCAGCCTGGAGACGAGGCTGGTCTGAGCGCTGACGCTAGCTTGTTCTCCCCGGGGAAGGGTGCTTTCAGTAGAACACCGGTAGAAACTCACTTGCTCAGTGGCTTTGGTGTCACAATGTAGTAAAATTCTTCACAGGAAGTATCTGGTTTAGGAAATGTGTTCATATAAGGAATAGTCTGACTTCCTGCTGGATAATTAGGAGCTGAGGTCATGCTCTGGGTCACTTAAGAGCTAATTCCCGCTTGTTATTAGGTTTAAACTCAGACCCCAGTGAGTTATATTTATGATCACCATCTGGGTTTGAAGGAGGCAAAGCATCTGGTTTTTCGGCAGAGCTGCTAGAACTATATTAATTTGTGAGGATCCCCTCACATAGTCCGCCTCATTAATCTGCATGTTTGCCCGTCCAGGACTCCCTCCTGGCTGATGAGTGAAAGCACCTGCGGATGCTACCTCATTCTCTCAGCATTAAATTGACTTTCCTGCTCCCGGCTGCTCTGCTGGGATTTCAGACACTCTTCTTTGTTGGGGAGCCCACGTGGGCAGAAGCACATCATGATGCACGTTGGGGGCTAGAATTAACCCAAAGGGGGTAATTTCTCTGTAGAGAAATAGAATAGTGGCCTGTCCCAGGCAGGCTACTCTATGTTGGTCACTCATTACTCTCCAGAGCCGCTGCCTGTCCATCCATTCCTGCAGGTAGCACAGTGCCGCAAATCTACCTGCTAATCACCTCCCTGATGCCCCATCAGCCGGCTGCTTATGTAGCAAGCAAGTCCAAGATGCCCACTGCCACCGACAAGGACATAAGCAGATTGTCCAAAACAGAAATAGCTGGGGCACCTTCTCATCACCTGTTCCTCTCTGGCGTGGAGTAGAGAATCAACAGATGATGACAGGAGGGTGCCCCCGGGCCTCTCCAGACAGCCTCTCATCCGAGGGTTTTCAAGCCCACACTCTGCTTTCATCATCAAGGGATTTCGAGACCTTCAAAAGTCATTTGGTCTATACCCTATAGCCAGACAGCACTTATTCTGGAGAGAAGCACATCTGTCTTACAATAAAGGTCTCCATTCCACTGGAACATCCCAGTGGATTCTAACAATCCTGGAAGGGAGAATTATTATTATTATTATTATTATTATTATTATTATTTTGCTACCTGACTTGAACACTCTTTTTTTTTCTTTCTTTTAAATGTATGTCTTTTCTTCATTCAGAGACAAAGAAAGGGTTTCACTCTTTTACACAATGACCTTCTAAATATCAATTTAACATTGTAGGCAAAATGCAAATTGATGTCAAATAATGAGTCTGAATAGTGACTCTGTTCAACACTCACTTTATAATCTTGGTCAGCTGTTCACTCGGCTCTGAATCTCAATTTCTGCATCTGTAAAATGGGGGCAGTATTCTATCCACTTAGTAAATCCTTATTGGGTCTTTACTAGAAAGTAGACTCTGTCTGGTTAAGGGCAGCGTTTTCAAATTAACAGAGACACTGATGCTGCAATTCTACGCTGAGCCGGTTTTAACCAGAGAAATATTGTGGCTGAATAGATCACTGGCACCCTTGAATCACCTCATTTATGGCCCCTAACCCCGGTTCTATCAGGTTGACCATGAAGGCCACAATCTTAGAATGTATATTCCCTAGCATTTACTGAACAGTTACTATGGGATGGGCACTTAAAAAAAAATACTTCAATTACATTCACTCATTTAATTCTTACTAGAATCAGGTAGGGCACTATTATCCCTTCTCCCATTTTACAGAGTGGTAAACTGAGGCATGAGGTGAAGTAAGCTGCTCAAGTACATAGCAGAGCAGGAATCTGAAGCTGGATGGTCTGACTCCAGAGCCTAAGTTTATCTGTGACCTGTCAGTCACCACGCTGCCTTCCTTCTAAGTGCTAGGGACAGTATAGTGAGTAAATCGAACCAGATTCTGCTCTTCTGGAGCTCGCTGTCCAGTGAGGTAGATATTGGACATGTGGTTACAAAAACAGATGAATGTTCTGAAGGAAAGTAACATGATACTGTGAGGACATCTAGCAGTGGCCCGAGACCTCTTGACTGTACCAAGGAAGGGACACTTGACCCCAATTCTGTAGGCTGAGAGAAGCTGATCAGTTAATCAGGAGTGGGGGTAAAGGGCATTTGAGGTAGTGAGACAGGCATATGCAAAGGGCCAGTAGGACTGGGAATGGTGTGGAGGGCCTGAGAGAGGCAGTGAGGCTGAAACGAAGAGATCGATGGGGAGAGTGAACAAGAAGAGGCTGGAAAAGTGGGTGAGGGTCACCTCATTTAGGTCATAATGTGAAGGTTAAGTATTTTAGTCTTTGTCACAAGAAGAACGGCATTCCATTAAAGAGTTTTAAGTAGGGGACTTAACATGATCAGATTCCAGAGTTGAAAATAACAGTGCCATGCATGTTAAAGGAGGCGCTAAGTGTGGGAATCCTTCCAGAAGCTGTAAAGTGCTACAGCATCAGTGATTTTAAGTAACGTAGGTCCTGATGACTCTTCCCCCTGTGCTTTTGCATCGCCACGCATACCCCTTGAGTACTACGGGCTTGTACCCCTCATGGTCAGCCCAATATACCTGGAGTCAGGAGCCAGGTAAAAGGCAACCTGAGGGGCCAGCAATCAGCTTGGCCACACCATTTCCCTTCCTGAAACTTGCACACCCTGAGTTCCCAGCATCAGCCAGATGTTTCCGCTCATGGGCAAATCAGCCCCATTCCCCTGGAGAACCAGCAGTGGTTGGTGGGAGCACCATACTTGGTGTGAGAGCCCTGCAGAGGGGGTGCCTGGGACAGCTGCATCCTGGCAGTGGAGGGCATGTAACGAGCTTCAGAGCAGAGGACACTATCAAGACATACCAGGGGGCATCATGAGGAAGGGAGCTCCAGCTGCTGTTTATGCAACAGATGTTGACAGAAGACTAACTTCTGAAGTGACAAGGACCGAAGAGGGACAATTCTTCACCAAGAAACTGGTCCTCAGTAACTTGGAAATACAGAATTAAGCATTTGGGCACCTGGGGCACCTGGGTGGCTCAGTGGTTGAGCATCTGCCTTTGGCTTGGGGCCTGATCCTGGAGTCCAGGGATCGAGTCCCGCATTGGGCTCTCTTGGGGGGAGGGCTGCTGCTTCTCCCTCTGCCTATGTCTCTGCCTCTCTCTCTTTGTGTCTCTCATGAATAAATAAAAACACCCTTAAAAAAAAAAAAGGATTTGGGCACATCTTCGGTAGGGAGGGATATAGTAATGAATATCAAATCTGTAGCCCTTTCTATTTTAATTCAAAATAACTTTTCTGACGTATGCACACACATATGAAGAGGGTAAGTGACCTGATCAGAATCCTGAGGGCAGAGGTCACAAGTATTCCACCATGAAGCTCAGAGCCTGGTGTGTTACCGTGTGTGGCCGGGGCTTTCCTCAGCGAGTCCTCCCAGCCCCCGTGACTCACAGACTGTGTGAAATGATGGGGTAGGGTGAGGATCTCCACCAGAGGCAGAGGTAGAGGAGTATCCCCGGACACGTGCCACTCCGGGGCTGGGTCTTGAGTTCTCCTCGCTTCCCGCTGAACCCCAGCTTGTTCTGTTTGATTCCCTTGCTCCTGCTTTCATCAAGGCGAGGGGAAGTCCCTGGGACATCCCTTTGCAGACTCTGCTGGCCTCAGTGCCGCTTACCTTGGGCTTTGACATCATCCACCACGGGGCAAGGGGTCTTCACGATGACATCACTGGGCCTGGAGCGCCGTCCGGTGTTGTCGACTCCCCACAGCGTGAACCTGGCAGAGGGGGTGGGGTGGGGGGCATCATTAGCAGAGAGAAGCTGAGGCCCTGGCTGCAGCCACGCTGTGCTGGGGCTGATCTGCCCCTGGCCACCCTTGCAACTTTCCGAGTGCTTGCTGCCACCACTCGGGTCATAACATGTGCAGCCTGGAGCCTCTCACGGCTTTCTGGTGGGTCCTGGGCTGTAACCTGATGTTTCTGGTGGCAAGCATCAGAGCACAGAGCAGTGGTTCTCAAAGTGGGGTCCTCAGACAGGCAGTATCAGCATCACCTGGGTACTTGGTAGCAATGAAAATTCTCAGGCCCAACCCCAGACATACCGAACCTGAAATTCTAGAGGTGTTCTAATAAGCCTTCTAGGTGAGTCTGATGCCACTTGCACCCTGATAGCACCTGAGCCGAGGGAAGGAGTACGGATCTGTAGCAACTTGGGTCAGAAGTTTGGGTTGGGTCTCACGTCCCACTCCCGGCCATGTGGAGTTACAGCTAACTCCTCTGAGCTCTCTTCTCCCTTATCTGTGACACGGGATGATCATAAACCATTTGCAGGTCACTGTGAAGCTGAAATGAGATACTCATGTACAGAAAAACCTAGTTCAGTACCTGGAACCCAATAAAACATACTGATTCTGTTCTGTCCTCCTTTGTGCTCAGCTGACATATTGACACAGAGGACTGAGGGCCATGTTCTCCTTCAAAGTCAGAGACCTGGGTATGTTGGCAAATCGAACTTAAACAAAAACGAATGTAAAAAAAAGAAAAAGTCAGAGGCCAAAGAGCCTGCCTTGAGGGGTCCTGACTTGCCTGTGGCTGGGGACTTTGCTTCCCACATGCAGCTTGTTCCAGGACCAGGAGCCCTGAGACAGAATGCTATGCCACCCCTGCCACTGAGAGAAGCCCTCCCGGGAGGAGGATAAAGACCTGGCTTTTGCACATGGCATGTGCCCTTGGGTGACGGAGCTGGATGGAGGGAAAGAGAATTCCAGGTTCTGCTACTCACAGAGGAATTTGACGATAACCATGCAATAATCTCCAGCCCGGCGCCCCGGGGACTCTAAGAACTCTAAGGACTCTAAGACTCTACAGAAAATCGCTACTGCTGCCTCTCTTGTCCCTGTCTCTCTTATGGTGTGGCCACGGGAGGCTGCATTTATTGGCAAGTCTGGATTTTTTTTTCCTTGTGGCAGAGCTCCAGGGAGGAAGACAGATGTCAGCAAGAGAGGTGCCCAGAGATGAAGTGGCCAGGGTCAGTGTTGGCTAAGCCTCAGACCGGCAGCTCGAGTGAGATAGAAAAGACTCAGAAATTGCCTTGTGAGTCTCTGTTAGCAGAGAAAAGTGCATCTACAATTCCCTCCCCATGGAGAAGCCCAGAGGAGGCTGGGTCCAAAGATCTGGGCACCGCCATCCCACCCCCTGGCATCCCCAGTCCTCAAGCTGCAATCACTGGCACCTCCTACAGGCAGGCAGCCTTCCACTGGAACTGAGAATGTGATGGCCTGCCTGGGGGCAGGGCTAGGACCACACTTGGGGACACCACAGGACTGCCTGGCCTCTTGGCTGTCAGTCAAGGCAGGGCCAGTGCTGGGCTTGCCCTCCTACCTACACAAGGTGGCTCAGTCCAATCCACTGGCCTCTGCTCCTTAGTTCAGATTGACCTTCTTGCCTGGTAGTAACCCTCCCTCCCCCCCCCCCCCCCCGGTGACCCTGGTCCAAATTCCAGCCCCCTGCTACTTTCCTCTTCCACCACCTCTCTCCTCCTAGGTCTGAGTGGGCTCTGTAGCATAGCAGCCCCACCCAGCTTCCCAGGGGCTGGCTGGACCCTGGCAGTGGCAGCCCTCGAAGTGTCTTATTATCTGGCACATTCGCACACCTGAGCAGCCTGTACTGTTTCTAGAACTGTGATGGAGGCCACCAAACCTGAAGCTGGGGCATCCGACCCGCCTGTCTGGACCCTGCTTTGCTTCTGAGGTCTGTCCTAGAACCCAGGTCTCAGCTCAGGTCTAACTCCCTCCTCTGCCCACCTACTCCAGGCTGTCTGGAGCTTAGGTTCTCAGGGACGGGCCCAGGGGCACCCAGGGCAGGCCGCACACCTGGGCATGCAGTCTGGGATTCTCACGCATGGGCCATGTTCCCCCTCCCACACCCGTGCCCCCTCCAAGAAGCTGGAGTGCTGGGGGAGCGTCCAAGGATGGCCACGGTCCCGCAAGCCTTGCTGAGCCTGCCCCCGGGGTCTGAGTGAGCCCCCTTCTCTCACAGGAGACCCTGATGTGGAGGAAGTCTGTCTCTCTGCTCAGAGGCAGGCCACTTGACCTTTGTTGCAGACCGTGTCCTGACTCCGCTTCCAGCAGGCAGTTCTCATCAGAGTTGGGAGACAGCAAGCCCTGTTCTCTCCTGGGCCCCAGCCTGGGCACAGAGCTGCTAGCTGGCCAGCCCCGTGCCCCATCTCACCCCTGGTTCTCTTCCTTCACTCCTCCCCTGCCACATGTCTGAGCCCCGCTCCAGTGCCCCTGCACCCCTGCGCCCGAGCCCCCGCCCTGGGTTCGGGGGCTGAGAGTCGGCCTGCCTGGTGGCCTATGCCCTGTGAGATGGCCCTGCCTCACTTTTCCTCTCCACCTTCCAGAAGGCTCCTGAGCACAGCCAGGACTGGAACCTCATGTGATGCTGCCTACCTGTATGTCTAACATCCCCTGCCCTAGACAGTCTGTGGCTGGGTTCCAGCCACTACATAGCAGAGTCCCTGGTCTGTGACGAGAAATGTTCTAAGAGTCAGGCACCAAACTGGCTATCAGAGGGACCCTCTGCCCCAGGGCCTGGGACGGGATGAGCCGTCCCCACACCCCAGTTGCTCCCACCCCTCTGGGCAGCCTCGCTCTGTGCCCTCCTCACTGTAAGCTCCCCACTAACTCTATCGGATCATGAGCTGGCACAAAAACGCCGGTACTTAAGTGAATTCTTGCAGTACTCTGATGGGGCAATTAGTACAAAATGTAGGGTCCTGAGCCCTTGGTACCTTGAGTAGCAAAGCAAGGTATCAGGGAAGAAAACGCTTCCCAGGATCTTCTAAGTAGAGATGATGCTTATCCTAAGGGCCATTCCTTGGTGGGCTGGCTCTGTAGGTCCTGGAGGGACGCTGACGGCAGCCAGCTGACTTTTACTATAAAACCCCAGGGAGCACTTTACATACTTCCACGGGGAAAGCGGCACGTGCCATCCCTTCCAGAAGGGCTGCTCCGTTCCTTGTCAGCATTACAGTTTCCACCATCGAGCACTGGTAGGACAGTAAGAAGGCTAGCTGCAATGACTGGGCGGAAGAGACGGGGCCTACCCCTAAGCCGGAGGGCTAATGTGGAAGGACATTCAATGCTAGCTCGAGGCTTCTGGGCCCTTTCCACTGACACCTGGCTGGGTCGTTCAGCCTGTTGTTAGAGTCTGTGGGATGACACCTATATGGTGTGTGTATGTGGGTGGGGTGGGGTGGTGAGAGTGTGTAGGGTGTGTGTGTGTGAGGGAGTGTGTGGGTGTGAAAGTGTGTGGGGTGTGTGGGTATGTGAGAGTGTGTGTGTGAGAGTATGTGCATGGGGTGTGAGAGAGCATGTGGGGTGTGAGTGTGTGAGGGTGGGTGGGTGAGAGAGTGTGAGAGTGTGCATGGGGTGTGAGAGAGCATGTGGGGTTGTGAGGGTGTGAGTGTGTGTGTGTGTGTGTGGGGGTGGGTGAGAGTGTGGGTGGGTGAGAGTGTGTGGGTGTGTATGTGAGGGAGTGTGTGAGAGAGTGTGAGTGAGAACTGACCGACGCAGCCTGGCTCTGGCTCCCGAAGCTCAGCTCGCTGGGCGTGCACGGAGCACCCTGGGGCGCGGGGCTGACTGCTCCTGGGCTAGGTGTGGCGGTTTCTGCTGACGGGGCGGCTCCGGCTCCGGCTCCGGCTCCGGCTCCTCGCCCGTTTTCTGAACTACCCCCCGAGGCAGCTGGTCTCCTGTGGGCGCCGGCTGTGGCAGGAGGGTGGGCCACGAGGGGAGTCACCTCCCCACTCTGGCCTCAGCTTCCTCTTCCGTGACCTGAAGACGTGGAACCAGACACACTGCAGGATCCTTCCAACCGGGGATTCTTAGAGTCTCCGCTCTGCCGACCCGGAATTCTCAGAACAGCGCCTTTTAAACGCCTTACAAGGCCAGGCTGCCGAGTAGGCCCGCGTGGCTGAAGCGCTCGGGCCTCGGACCGGGAAGAGGCGGCCGCCGGGGGCGCGGCCGCGAGGAGAAGCCGGAGCGAGCAAACCCGACTCAGTTCAAGCCGCCGCCGCACCCACACAGCCTGCAACTCTGCGGAAGGCACTCGGGCGCGGCTGACCTCCAGCCGGCTCAGCCCTAAAGTGGGAGCAAGCGCCCAACCTCGCAGGGGCCCCGGGGGGCCGGCGCGCAGAGTAAGCGCCCCCTACACGGAGGCTGAGCTCCCGCGCTAACGACAAGAAAACTTCCCTGCAGTCCTGCTGACAGTTGCCCGGTGCGAGCCTCAGAAACAGACGCAGGCGTGAGGCCAGGCGCTTCCTTCCGACCGAGAACCCCGGGCCCTCGGCGGGCCCAGGCCCCACGAGTCAGGCCGGGACCTGCGGGGAGGACCCGCCCTCCCCGGCGCTCCGCGGCCCTCGCGCTCCGCGGCCCTCTTCGCGTGACCTGCAGCGCCACCTCGTGGAGGCCGCCGGCCCGCGCTTCTCCCTCAGCCCCGCCGGCCGCCTCGGCCTCCGCCTTCAATCCTCCTCACGGGCACTGGGTACCGGGCCGCAGGGCGCGACCCGGGAAGGTCACCCAAGACCGCAGAGAGCCAGAAGGCAGCAGCCTCGGGGCTTCGGCCGGGAAACGTGGCCAAGTCAGGCCAACCTGAGGAGGGTCCCCAGATGGGTGAAGGCGGGCCCCAGGCATGTCCAAATTCCTACTTAACCGGTTGTGACGCAGTGACGGCAATCCCTGAGCTCTTGTCATAAACGAGAATTCTGGCTTCACTGAGTTTGAGCTATTTTACTGTACCACCCCTAACCTCTGCTCCTTTTGCGCGTTCCCCTAATAAAGGGCCACAGCTGCCCAAGATTAAGAGAGCAGGTAAGAGTCATCTGTAGGCCAGCTTTCCCTCGTCCTAGGATCGCCCTTTCTGCCTCTGCATTTTCCAGCTCCTCTGGAGTATTCCTTATCCTTATGTATCTTTTTTTTTTAAATATTTTGTTTATTTATTCATGAGAGACAGAGAGAGAGAGAGGCAGAGACACAGGCAGAGGGACAAGCAGGCTCCTTGCAGGGAGCCCGATGTGGGACTCGATCCCGGGACCCCGGGGTCATGCCTGCAGCTGAAGGCAGACACCCAGCCCCTAAGCCAGCCAGGCACCCCTGTCCTTATGTGTCTTACTAGTAGGGCCCCCTTTACATCTCTTCCTCCTAGACGGAGGGTATTCAGTCTAAGTTCCTCTTGCAATCAAGGCCACTCATATTTCTAGTGCTTTTCGCCTTTGAATTCTTCAACTGTGGAAATGCTGAGGATTTATTCTGGCTACTTTGCCTCCATTTTGTGACCTCATCTATAAACTGTAAAATGTTTTTCATACTGATGGGGTCAAAAGGTCCCGGAACTACGTCACCAGGGACTCTGCTTTGGCCTCCCTCAATTTTCCCATCATGACTTAGAGCCCATCAATCGCTGTCCTCCTTTGGTGTCTTTTATGTTGCTGCTTCACAACTATTTTGCTATTGTTCCAGGAGCACAGGGAGAAATGAGGAAGCGAGCAGGCGCTCCCAGAGAGAAGAGGGCTGTTCCAAGTGCCAGGAGATAGGAGTCCACCGTATTTCCTTTGAAGAAAAATGCTGACCATCTCTACCTCTATAAACTACTTCTAAGTCACTGGAGCTTGCTTTCTAAAGCAGTGTTCTTGCTATTCTACTCCTTTTGCTTAAAAAAAAAAAAATTATCCCCCCTGACTTATAGCATTCACTCTATTTTTTTTTTTCCCCCAGAACTACTTTCTTCCAGTCCCTTTTACTCACCATCTGCTTCTGCTTCATTGGACAACTTGCCACTCACCTTCATGCCTCTTTGCTTTTGCCCTTGCTAGCTCCTCCGCCTGTGGTGCCTTTTCCAACATCACTCTACCTACTGAAATTCTACAAGATCTCAGTGAGGTGATGTCCACTCTAGTTAGAATTAACCACTCCTGGGGGACCTGGGTAGCTCAGTGGTTGAGCATCTGCCTTCGGCTCAGGGTGTGATCCTGGGGTCCTGGGATCGAGTCCCGCATCAGGCTCCCCACAGGGAGTCTGCTTCTCCCTCTGCCTGTGTCTATACCTCCCTCTCTGTGTCTCTCATAAATAAATAAATAAATAAATAAATAAATAAATAAATAAATAAATAAAATCTTAAAAGAAAAAGAATTAATCACTCCTTTCTTTTCTCTTCTGCAACATGTTCCTTGTCTTCCATCTAGCTTCTATTTCTTCTTACCTGATGTTAAAGTTAGTTGTTTGTACATTTTCTTTTTTTAAATTTTTATTTATTTATGATAGTCACAGAGAGAGAGAGAGAGAGAGAGAGAGAGAGAGAGGCAGAGACATAGGCAGAGGGAGAAGCAGGCTCCATGCACCAGGAGCCCGACGTGGGATTCGATCCCGGGTCTCCAGGATCACGCCCTGGGCCAAAAGCAGGTGCTAAACCACTGCGCCACCCAGTGATCCCTGTTTGTGCATTTTCTATCTGAGTTGCAAACTCTCTGAAGGCTGGGGCTCTATTGTCTTTCTCAATCCTCCCTTTCAGTCCCTAGAACGTTCTCTATAACACTGATCAGGATAAGACTTGAGAAATTCAAAAGATTTTTCCGAGTTTCCGAAGGGAACTCAGGCAACAAAAAAGGAAGATGCTCAGAGCCTTAGGAGGGCCAAGGTATGGAATAGCCAGGCAGGTGTGTGTCACTCACATGTAGATGGTGTCCGGTTCCAGACATCGGATGATCAGAGAGATGGTGGTGAGCTGCTTGTCTGGCACCTGAGAGGGCATGGCACAAGGAGACTTTGCTCCAGAGATGATGTCGTCCACAAAACTCAGCACCGTTTCTGCCCAGGGGGAAGGAATGGAAAAGGCCATGAGAAACAGCGCTGGCCAAACAATGAGGAGATGGCATCAGTTCAATGAGAACTTAACATCAGAGCCGCTTCATCCCCAGTCATCTCAAATTCCTGGTAGAGAAAAAAGACCTACAAAGAATTGTCTTCTCTGTTTCATGTTTAATCAATTTAGGGCCATTTGTCCAGAGTGAGTTCAGAAACAACTACAGCAAGATGTACACACCACATCTGTGAGTTCTTTTGTGAAATGTTCTTGGCAAGGGCAGGGAGCAGCTGCTGCGGGCAGTGGTCACTGCCAGCCCTTTGCAGTACCTGTGTGCATCTGGGAAAGGGCCTCGGAGGAAGCAGGAGACAGCTCTCCCTGCCTGAAGGCCGTGCGTACATCTCCCAGCCTCGCTCATCATTTCAGTAGAGCTTATTTACCCTGCATCAGACTGTGGATGCCACCATCCTGTGGCGGACCACACTCATGCGTAGGTTTTAGGGATGATTTATGTTGACCTTTCCCTACATGTAGGCAGCAAAATACTAAAGCATGGAACATTTTTCATGGGGTGTTTCCACTTCTTGAAGACTTCCCTCTTCTAGCTGGACCTGGCAATGCAGAGTTTGCTTTAGGACAAGACATGGGGTAAGCACATCTGTTTGCACATGCTTTTGCCCGGAGGGGGGCTATTAGCAAAGGAATTTTTTTTTTTTTTTCTGTAATCATGGCAGTGGTTAGCACAGAATTGTTTCCTAATTGTGGGCTAGGATAACTAGTGTACTCTATTGTTGTTTCTTTGTGAGTGTGCCTAGAGGCAATGAAATGGACACCTCTTTAATAAACAAAAAGAAAAACAAAATCAAAACAAGACTTTGTCAGATGCTCACCATGCAAAAACTCTTAAACGGACAAGATGGCTGTTCTTGATTGTCCCTCGCTCCTCCTCCACTGCCCTGGGACGCTGGAGGCCTGGAGTAAAGGCCAGGAGGCAGGGCATTTCTCTTTTCTTTTTACCAATGGGTTAAGATGAGCTCATGAAGTCAGAGATGCTCACCTGTCTCCACTTTGGAGTGGTCCATCCTGTCAGTGACCTTTTCTTGGCGGATGAGGTAATCTACAATCTGCACCCCGATTGGAGGCTCTGAGTGTTCCCACTCCAGGACTACCAGAGTGCTGCTGGGCTCATGGACCGTGGAGAGTCTCAGCCTGAGTGCAAGAAAGGGAGAAACAAGACATGGAGACCATATTAGTTCTTGGATGCTCTTCTGATACCGGTCCCCTTCTCAAATGCTTTCCATTCGAGTTCTCCTTCTAACCTTTCTTCACCAGTCACTACAATGATCTCTCTGAGTGCCTGTCTCCTTCACTAGAGAGGAACGGTTCTTGAAGACCCCTGGAATCTATATTTTATTATTCTAAGTGCCTGTTACATATCAGGAACTCAACAGATGTTTGCGAATAAATAAAAAAGGTGAATCAAAGATGAATGAACACCTACATCATATAAGGTCAATGGATACAGCATTCAGGGTGGCCCGTTACAGGGCTTGGAAATGTAAACTTCTGGATTTGCTCTCGAAAATAGGAGAATGTGCCTATAAAGCTCATGCCAAAGCTTACTGAGATGGTTTCTGGGAAAGCCCTATATCAACAAGGCCAAGATCAGCTCAGTTTCCATAGCATTGCCAGGATCTGCTCTGTGGGGGGAACCCTGGCTTTCCCTCTTGCTACGGGTACTAACATATTTCCTTCCTGACACTTTCTGCTGGCTGAGCCTTGCAGCAGGCTTGGTTTGAGGCTATGCTCATGGGGGGCTGCACTAGGCAAGAGAAAGTTGACCACATGTCAAGTTCTCCTCAGGGTGATGTCCTGTGTCTACAAACTCAGGCTCTGATTTTGGTTTCTTTCTTTGCTTTTGGGTTTCTTTGAATGCCCTAATTCCTGACTCCAGTCTTTCTTTGATTTTTCCAACTCATAGTCTCCTTCCACGCAAATTGTCCCTTCTGACCACTTTTTTGCCTTGCCATCTCATACCTCCTTGTATCTTGCAGAGATTCAATAAACATTATTGACATTCAGTGGTATGGATCCCCTAATGGTTCAAGTGGTTTCAATTTGCTGCCTTGTTGTGACTTCATATGTGTATCTCAGGTTTCTTACTGGCTTCCAGTTGCCAGTTTCTTTCTAGACCACGGACTTCTGGGGATTTTCCCAGCTCCTTCCTGCTGACTCCAGTCTCCCTCCATCACACATGTCCCTGCCATTCACCCTCATCCTTGGTCCCCATATCTCACAACCTCTCAAAGTCACGGTCCTCTGGTCTCTACTCAGTTCACAGCTGCCTGTCGCTGGTCTCACTGTGACAGGTACTACGGATGGAGCACACCAAAGCAATGGTCGATTTCAATTCAGCAAATGTTTGTTGAGCACCTATTACTCATAAGAACGTGCTTGGTGCTAAAGACGCAGTGGTGCACAAGCCAGCTCCAGTCCTTTCTTTTATGGAGTGCTCAACAGACAAACATGCAATTATACACATGATTATAATAATGTGTGATAAGGACTTTAAGAAGAAATCACGGGAGGCTGTGGGAGCAATAGCAAGGAATTCAACCAGTGGGAAAATAATACAAAACACATGCTCTTTAGCGGCTTACTATGAAGGAGTGCATAGTTTGCATATGACATTAAAGATGGATTAGACCCAAAACAGTGCGGATATTGACAAATTCATTAATTAGAGTCATATGCAGAGTGCTATTTTGAAGAAAAAAGCATTAGGAAGCTTAAGTAAGTAACTAAGCCTTTCTGAGAAGTCAGATTCTGTGAAAATGTGGACTAAAGCCGGCCTCTACTGAGAAACAGCAGCATGCATGATTTACAGGGCCTCGTGTAAAACCAGAGAGCACTTCTATGTCCAATTACCAATAAACATTTAAGAAACGAAGGTCTGCTACTAAAAGGAGTGATTAAAATTGACAAGAGAAGTGAAGTCCTTAATAGATGTTCCTGCTTATGGAAATTTAGCCCAATTTGATCTTTAGCAATGACATATGGCAATGATCTTTAGCAATGACATATAGAAAGGAGATCAGCCCTAGGCTACCAATGGTTGGGTCTTGTGTCCACCCGATGATAACTGTTTAGTGGCTTCAGTGTGACAAAATGCAGGTAGTTTTCTTAGTTGGTGAATCCATCTAGAAGCACCATCTGCTCCTATTGGCTCCCTTTATACCAAAAGAAAGGACTTTTACTGATAATGAACTTGATTCTCTTTTAACTCAAGAGGTCCAAGTCATGGCTGTAAAGAGCAAGAAGCCAAGTGCTGGTGTATCTAAAACTATCCATAGAGAGAGGGCATGTAGACAAGAGAAGATGCTGGTTTATGCTGATAGCTACTGTTGTGTTCTCATCTTTCTCCGTTCTCTTCCTGCTGACCTCTGGCTCTTTGATGCCTACCCATACTTCCATGCAACAAGTTGGAGGGCAGCATCCATAGGACCAGTCTCTCACTTGCTGGTGTCCTCCTGCTGGCTCATTCCTGCTGACTCAGCCCTCTTACTCCCACAGATCCTGATCCTCCCTTTGAGCTTTCTTTGCCTTGCCAACCCATGGGGCCATGCCATTCCAGCTGTTCCTGACAGCACTCTTTATTAGACACCATATGTCTGTGCTTCATTCCCAGGGCAGATGCCATAGTAAAGGCTAACGGGGTTCCTGCTCGGGCCTTAACTGTCAGGATTTACAGGAATCTGGCCAGCTCTTTTCAGCCTTCCCTTGAGGGCAAGGGAATTGGACATGTTCATCCTGAACCATCTTAGCAGTACTTTGTACTCTGTTCACCCCTCAAATGCAGAGGGCCCCTAATGCGCATCTCTGACCCACTCTTCTTCCGAGTTGATACTTAGTTGGGAACATCCTTTCTCATAGCTGTGGTTCCATTTCTTATTTCTTTGGGGTTGATTTAAGTCTTCTTATCTCTAGTATCTATCTTCCAGACCATCTTTCCCTCTGACCACTGAATGTCTCAGTAGTACTGCCCTGCTATGTCTCCAAGATAGGTCCAACTGAACACAGCCTCTCCCTCCAATCTGTATATCCTCTGATGCTTCTTTTCTCAGCTGTGGCCTATTTATCTTCCCAGCCACTAGGGCAGAAGTCATAGGTCCATTCTCTACTTCTCCCTCCCACACCAGCAGTTACCCATTACCCCCTGTTGGTTCTACCTAAAGTCATCTCTCTGTTGTGTCTTCTCAACATTATCATGCCTGAGATCATGGCTTCTTAGCAGTGGTGGCTCTGCTTCCTGCTTGATGACCTTGGGAAGGTCATTCAGTCTATCTGAAAGCATTTCTTTGTTTCTTAAATGGAAGTGGTAACGGTCCTGGATGGCTCCACACAGTATTGCCACCCAGGAAATGTGTTGTTGGCCTAGCAGAGTCTCACTGCAGATCTCTCACTTTCTCCACTGCAACGTCACTTTACCCCTCTGGTCTTCTGGCCATGCTGTCCTACCCTCTTCACCTTCAAGGAGAAATTCATGTGCCATTTCTTTTGTGAAGCCTTCACCATTCCCCAAATTCAGACTTGACCATTCCCTTTCACACTTGACTGAAATGTCTCTTCTAACTCTTAGCAGACCATGTCTTCTAACTATTACACTCTGTGTGCCTGCCTCCCTGAGATTGAAAGCTCACTGAGGCCAGGTGCTGCCTCATGCTTTTCTTCCTGTTACCTAGCACCGAGCCTACTGCTTTGCAATGACTGGACACTCAGTAATATATTTTGCAGAAGAATCAAGCGGAGGTGTGCACACGAATGAGAGGCAGAGAAGGGGAATCATACACCGGCTGCGGGAGGGGCGCACAGGTGGGGAGTCCATCAGCTCCAAAAGCGGTGGAGTCGCATCGACACCAGTCCTCGATGACATCTCCGGTCCCTGAGCACCAGAGGGAGCTCATGGTGGCCTCCTGTAAGAGCTGCAAAAGAGGACAGAGGAAAGAGTGAGTGTCCGGAAGCCAGGGCTGAATCACCACAGGCAAGAGACAAAATCAAAGCTTTGCTTGCTCCTAGATAATGCCCAGCCAATAGGCTGTGGCACTGCTTCACCATTTTCTGATCTAAGATTCCTACCCCAGGAGACCATTTCTGGGAAGCTAGACCTCGTAGGACCTGTTGGGTGCCGTTCTCTCTCAATGTAGCAGTTCACCCCTGTGGTTGAGGGCTGTCACCTTGGAAGCAAGTCTTACTTCTCCCTCCTTCTCCCTCTGTCAACCCACATCTGAGGCCCTTACAACCATAACCTCTTTACCACCAACTGCCCCGACCTCTCTTCCCTCTGCCCTGTGGCACTTGGCCTTTCTCAAATGCCTCTATGGTTTCCTCCCTTGCCCTCTGCACCCTGCCCAGCACTACTGGATTCCTTCAGCATGCCTTGTACCTCAAGTACAATATCTGTACAGATCTGCCTTGGGTTGTGATTGTGTGTGAGGCCTCCCTTTCCTGGTAGAAAGTAGAAAGAGTGAGGCATTCATTTGGGCTGCGAACTGTGCTCTAGAGCAGTGTGCCCTGGGTGAGGACTTAGGCTCTGCCAATCGCCACCATGTGACCTGGGGCAAATTAGATAAACTTGGTTTGAGCTCTATGATAAACCAGATTTATAGCTGAGGACGCTTAAGAGTCAAAGGGATTAGGTCACTTCCTCACTTCATGCTTTGCCTGACTGAACCAAATTCAAGTCAAAAGTCTACTTTTTTAAACTAGGAAAATAGACTTTTCATTGAGAGAGACAGAATAAAGAGGGAACTGTGGCTGCCCGTGTGGTCTTCAATCAATCACTAGCTAAACACCTATACAGGCCTATTTCTTGGGCTAAGCATTAAGAATGCAGTGGTGTGTAAGACACATACAGCCCCTGCCCACATAACTCTTGCAGCCAAATAACAAATAAGTGAACAAACCAAAGTTACATAAGTGAACAAATAACTAGGACTGGTGGTATGGGCTCCAAAGGAAAGGGGTGAAATGGGACAGGAGGGACAAGAAAGAAGGGCAATCTCACAGAGGGGTTTGGAAAGGCCTCCTGGAGGAGGTGTGTTTTTATCTGAACTTGGAGGGGCAGATCAAGAGTTCTCTGGTCACAGAAGATGGGGAAGTGTTCCAGGCAGAAAAACTAGTATTAAGAGGACTTCAGCCTGGATGAAACTTGACCTCTAAAATTAACTGAGAAAAGGCTCCTCAGGCTGTAAGAGACCAAGTGAAGAGCACGGAGGTGCTCAGCAGGTGGGAGGGGGCGGAGCCTGTTACAGATGCCAAATGGGCCTGGTAAGGGGCAGTGTCACATTCTAAGGGCAGGGGAAAGCCATTAAAGTGTTTTATTTATTTTTTAAAAAAATTTATTTACTTATTCATGTGAGACACACAGAGAGAGGCAGAGACATAGGTAGAGGGAGAAGCAGACTCCCCGCGGGGAGCCCAATGTGGGACTTAGTCCCAGATCGTGCCCTGAACAGAAGGCAGATGCTCAACCACTGAGCCACCCAGGTGCCCTGCCATTAAAGTGTTTTAAAGAGGGGAGCAACATGATCCGATCTTCAACCCAAAGGAGTAAGGGCCAACACTTATGATGACAAACATTTCTTCAAAAGTTCTAACTTTCCACCTCTGATTAACACAATTCCACGAGTTCCTACTCCCTGAATCCTGGGCTATTGGTAGCTGAAGAATGTAGGACAGGGTAGAAGAGGAGAATCAAGAAGGAGCCCTTTTGGACAGGAAGAGAAAAAAAGATTACATTTTTCTTGGTATCTACAATTGTTAAGCATTGCATCCTCATTTGTTACTAGATTTAATCCCAAGTCCAGAAAATAAATAGGATTTTCCCATTTATGTTATTATTTGGCTTTAAGGAAAGTAGCTGAACTTTAAGCCAAGTTCATCCATCCATTCATTCCTCCATTTATTTATTTCATTCATTTATTCAGGAGAGTGTCAACTACTGGTAGGCACTGGGATTCTATAGAAGAGTGAGAGCTTCTCATAGTCTACAGAAAAGTAAACAGATACGTGTGCACTCATGATAGCAAGTGCTATAGAAGGTGTAGGGACACAGACAGTGGGGGCTACTTGCGGGAACAGGGGTGGGCCTGGGAGAATAAGGAAGGGATTGTCATAGCTGGTGATGCTTGAGTTGAAAACTGGAAGTACTGTAACAGCAGGAGTTTGCCAGTGGCAGAAATGTAGGAGAGGCTGTTCCCGGGAGAGAGAGTGACAGTCTGAAGGGTCAGATGTACAACAGAAAATATATTGTGTTTAAGGGGGTACCAGAGATTAAAATTTAGAGAATAGGATATAAAGTATAGACAGAGTGCAACCTAACCAGGTAAGCGAGGACCAAATTGGACAATGAACTGCCCTTATAATGATATGCTAAGGATTTTAGATTGCATTTAACAGATTCTGCAGAGCTACTGAATTTTCTTGCTGCAATAGGATCTGATGTATTGGGAGGATGGATTCAAGGTATCTGTGTTCCTGGTGATAGATAGATGTTAGGGAGTGACAAGAAAAGTTAGGGAAGCATACCTGGCCTCAGGCTTGGACAACTTGGTAGAAAAGAATCTCACTCACTGGGATTAAAACACAATGGTAACTGTTTAGGTTGGAAAGTAGTGAGTTCAAGTTTGTTGGGTTTGAGACACCTGGTGGGTTCTATGGTTTGACCTACTGGTTTCTAGACTGTTTGTAATCACTAGACTGAAAAATGGCATCATAAATGATCTAGTCCCATAGAAGGAGGCCAAGGAGGCCAACAGAGGTTAGAAAATTGGTCCCAGGGCATCCCAGGTGGCTCAGCGGTTTAGCGCCGCCTTCAGCTCAGGGCCTGATCCTGGAGACCCCGGATCGAGTCCCATGTCGGGCTCCCTGCATGGAGCCTGCTTCTCCCTCTGCCTGTGTCTCTGCCTCTCTCTCTCTCTGTCTCTGTCTCTCATGAATAAATAAATAAAATCTTAAAAAAAAAAAAAAAGAAAATTGGCCCCAGACATACCAGAGGAGTAGAGGTAAGAATACATACCGAATTACAGGTGTCATGACTTAACACTTCTCTTCCTTTACTACTTTACTCTGTATCTCCACTCTTTGTGAGAAAGAGGAAGTAAGAAGGAAAAGCAGAGGAGCAGAGAGAATGAACAGAGGAGATGGAATATGTTTAAGGAATAAGAGAGAAGAAATGTGGGATGGTGACTGAAGCAGCTCAGGGCCACCTTGCCTACATGTTCAGAAATTAAACGTTCAAATATGGCCAGGTGGATGATCTCTCCCAAGTCCTCTCTTAAAACCAGTGCAGGGAGACAGGGAAGGGCTAAGGTCTGGCAAGTAGGAGTTCCAGGCAGGGAGATGCTAAAGACAAAATTTCCTTCAGCTTCCCCATTTTGCCCATGATGCTCCTGCAGGAAGCTGGGAGTCTCTGTTCTCCTCCCACCCAGCTCTCCCCTACTCAATAGATCTGCATGCCTTGTCCCATAGGGCAGTGCTATGAGGTGCTCCCTACCTCTGCTGTTCTGGGGCAAGCACTGAGGCAAGGGCACTGGATTCAAGCCAACACAGCTTTGGGTCTCCATGGTGACACCAATCCATCCTTCTCAGCATCCTTGCCAGCCCCCTAGTTTCTTTTCCACAGCTCCTCCTCCCCAGTCACTTCTACTAGAATGAAGAGGAATTCATAGGCCAAAGGAGCCACTTATCCTTTTGTTCCCGTGAGAAACCTTGTTTTAAAACACTCAGTGAACTATCAGCGGCAGAAACAGAAAGGTGAGAGCAGCACACACGTGCAAAATCCCTCCTTGCTGGTCTGAGCATCACCTATGAAACAACTGTGACACACCAGGTGTCCCTTAAAAGAGGAAAGAGAAAGCAATTATCACCCTGCCTGGATGGGCACAGGTCTTGGGCAGGGAAGCAGCTCTCTGCTCTGACTATGTCTTGTCCCTCAAGGTCGCCTTTGCCTATAGTCTCAGAAGTCCCACACCCTGAGCTTTCATGTTTTTATTCTTGTCATCGTCATCATCGTTGCTGTTGTGTGTGCTGTGACCCACTCTGTTCTTTCTGTCCTTGAGGAGATCAGAGAGCTAGGAAATGAGCTAAGCCACTGTCTCTGCCACATTTCTCCAACTTATCCTTTTGGACCCATTCATTTTCTCATAGCACCTTTGGAAAGGGAGCCACAGAGGGAAAGGAGGAGCGGCTGGGAAATGTCATGACCTAGCAGCATAACATAAGGCAGAAGATTTGCAAGGAGGTGGTTTTTTATGGTAAGCCACGGGCAGGAAACTATCCCCACCCCCACCCCCCCCACCCCCCAGACTAAGACCAAACTCTTCGCTTTGAGACCTGTGCCTGAAGCACTCCTTCTAGCCTCATTGCAGCCAATTCAGGCCTGGGATCTGTTAGGACAGCAGAGCCTCTTCCCATGACTGTCCCCCAGGCTTCCTGAACAATGACTTTGGTGACTAAGAATGCCATGTCTCCTGATCTACCTTCTTTCTCCAGCCCTTGTTGCTCAAGAACCTACACAAATGCTGAGTTGTGACTCCTGAGTCATTACCATGGGTAATGGATGCGCTGATTTGATTTAATATGCAAACATGCAAATCTAAGCAAATTATGTGCCTGGATTAGCTAAACAAAAAGTCTCACCATCCATATTCTAGCATAGAGCTCAACTATACCCTGTCACGTCCCCAGGCCATTTCGAAAACCCTCTGTTGTTGCTGATGCTTCCCTGAGTCAAGAGTCCCAGGCCTCTTACCCTCTGGGTCTGGTTATTGGTCACCAGTTCATAGATGGGGGCTGCTCTGGTCACCTCCAGCAGAACTGGCTCAGCAGGAGTGTCAGGGCTGGATGTCACATGACAGAGGGGGCAGGATGAGGGGCATCGTCCCTTGCTTTGGCATTCCATGCGGACTCCAGCCGCCATGCGCTTGGTGCCAGACTCCGACAGGCTGGCGATGTATTCTGGGAATGTCAGCACCTTGGGGTCTCTTTCCCGCTCCTCTGACTCGTCAGATGGGGAGTTGCCTGCCAGACACAAAATGAAGAGGAATGATGAAGCAGGCAAAAGAGCAAGGTCTTGCGTGATCTCATGGCCCTTGAGTGCTGGAATCAAATCCTAGGAAGGTCACAAAAAATCACTGACATGTTACAGGATGTGATTCTGATGGCCCATTCAATACGGGGAACCCGTCCTCCCAGGAACCTATTAGAGTTGGAGAGCCTTCCAAATGTGAGATCAGGTGGTTTCCCTCTGGAGAATCCTCAGCTCCACTGATCGATCCCCTCAGGGGGATGCATCTGCAGTGTCTGTGCAGGACCTACAACTATTGTCAGTAATACAAACAGTAACAACAGTGATTATTCTAGGACTCAGTATCTTCATCATAAAATGAAGATATTGATCGTACCTACCTCTAGCATTGTGTGATGAATAAATGACAACATGTTTTTAGAGCACATAACACAGTGGCTATTGATGTCCAATCATCATCCTAACAGTTTTAAGTATAACTAGAGGTAAGGTTTACCTAAACTATGAAGTGAGATCTGTTCTGGACCTCCTTTAACCCTTAAGAGAACTCTGCAAGGAGTTCTACCATTGCACCCATTATATGGATGAAGGAAGCAAGGCCAAGAGCCTCAGGATCACACAGTTAGTCTGCTGTAAGCACTAGGATTTGAATGCAGCTTGGTCAGATTCCAAAGCCCTCAGGTCACTGGGGAGGAAGAGGATTTTTCTGCTTCATTATTCATCAACATATTAAAGATGGGGGAGGGAGTTTGGGCTTTTTCATAAAGATGTGCAATCCAGAGAGATGGATTTATATTGCCCTTGAATGATGAGTGAAAGAGAAATTCTTGGTTTATTTTTGGTGACAAAGATGAGAAATGCATACCTGAAAATAAATACTACTTTGTTCCCTATAGAAGAAAGCACTGCTTGGTATTTGTCTTCCAAGCCTTTGTGATTTCCCATTTAACTTATTCATGCTAGATGAATATGGAAGTACAGTACACTGACCAAAAGCCCTGGGATCTGTAAGAGATTCCAAAGTCTTTGTGATACAGTTGCAGGTTTGAACATCAAGCAATTTCATGGAGACCACTAGGCTTTTAGAAGCCAAGGGCAGATAGAGAACATTCATCCTGGGCATCTTGGACCTCTCAGGAATGTGGTACTTGATAGGTCAGATATTTGGGGGATATGGCTGGAAGGGTTTGCAAAGGGGTTCCAGAAGGTGACTGTGAGCTACAGCTCATTGACTTTCTAATAGGGTTCTCTCTCATGGGGTCCGGGGAGCTCTCTGCTCTCCTCCCTCGTGTTTGCTATGTAATGTGAACCCATTTGGAAATGTCATGAGACATATCAACACTGTTGTTCCCCAGATGAACAACCTCATGAGGCTGAGGCATCTTCATCCAGAAGCTCCAGTGGCATGGGACTCCTCCTGCACGTGAAAGCAAAAGACTCACTCAGTGACTATAAACGTGGGATATAATTTATTTCACATTTGCAATTGATCTAATAGCAAACCCAGAGTTGAACCAAACCCTTTCCTGGGCTCCTAGAAGCGCATAACTGCACACACCAAAACTGAGAATGATGTTATCAAGCAGGGAGGCCCAGGAGCCCACACCAGCCAGCCCCAGAGTCACTCGGAACCACTTGTCAATCCTGATTGACATTCAGGTTTATGCCACTCAGTCGACCCTGCGGCTGGGAGTATTTGTAAAGTGAGCACAATCTAGCAGGAGTCTCCTCACCCAGGCCTCAGTCTTCAACAGGCTACAGGAACCAGGCAGAGATAAATGAGGTGAATGGATTCTTGATATGATTTCTAGAAAAAAACATGCCTTCATTTTTGGGAAAGTGAAATTTAAAAACAAGATCAGGAAAGACATGGTGCTCCTTTTCAAGACAAAGTTTAAAAAATGTTGCTGTGCAAACCCTGTGGCCCTTGCAGGTCAGATGCATTTCACCAACCCACCCACAGCCCTCCTCGGTGAGAAAGTCTTCAACAGAGGCTGGGAAAGAGTTCCCACGAAATGACCGCTAGGTGGTGATATCAAGTCTAAAATGACTTCTGAGAGAGGAAAAATCTGTGCTGAGTTCTGCGTGGCCACTTTGGCACCACAGAAAACAAACGTATGGAAAAGTCACACCTGGCTACTTGAAAAAGTTTGTAGTGATACCACTTTTTTCTTTATTTTTTATTTATTTATGATAGTCACACACACAGAGAGAGAGAGAGGCAGAGACACAGGCAGAGGGAGAAGCAGGCTCCATGCACCGGGAGCCCGACGTGGGATTCGATCCCGGGTCTCCAGGATCGCGCCCTGGGCCAAAGGCAGGCGCCAAACCGCTGTGCTACCCAGGGATCCCCACTTTTTTCTATGAAATAGTAAAAAAATGAATGAGCAACACACTTCCATAAGATGCATCCTAAGGAGAAACATAATCGAGACAGAACTCAGAGACAGAAAATTAAAATCCCCTTCGATGGAGTAACATTTGCAAGGGGAAATAAGACTCCATCAAATTCCTTTTCTCTCACGTTTAATCCCCAAATTCCCAGGAAGTCCACCCCCTCCCTCCCCACCGCACACCCCATACACGTCCTTGGGTAGGATGCACCGTTCTGAGAGTCGGATGCGGCCACTAGAGGGCACTGCGCCCCCAAACACAGGGTTGCTCAGTGACCACCTCCCTGCCCTCCAGCACTCCATCAGCACCGCTTGTAATTGCTGTAAACATTGGAGGGGCTGTTCCCTGGCCGCTGTCTTCTGACTCTCCCAATTAAAATCAGGATTCAGCGAATCCCTCTCAATATGCTCCAGCTCCGGGTAGGTGCAAGGTTCCGGAGGAGAGAGGCGTGCAGAGGAGGATGCAAAAGAAGATAGATGGTGGCAGACCACCAAACTCTCGTGTTAAGCCTGAATCCTATTTTCCTTCTCCTGAAAATCTTCAGGTCCGTAGAAAGCGGGCCTTCTGAAGGCCCCTCCAAGTCCCATTATCAGGCAGCACAGAGCTGTCTAGAGAAGAGCTGGATTTATACAGAAGTGATGAGCAGTGAACTCCCAAAGCCATCTATTCAGGCTCCAGCAAAGAATAGAGATGTGTGTGAGAAAGAGATTTTTCAAAGAGGAAATGCATTTTCCATGCGCAGTTAAAGACACAATTGGGAAATACTCCTTAAAATGATGGAGTCCGGTGGTGAAAGCCCAGATAAATCTCCCTTTGCCCAAAGAGAGCACCTATAACCATCATGTCTGTGCCAAGTGAAAGAGTAGCTCAAATCCCAAAAGCTTCAGGAGAGTCTGATCTTTGACATTTGCTTTTAACTCCCCCTCAGAGGTAGAGTGGGCAATAGAGAGGTCTGTGTAGAGGGTCACAGGGAGGGGACCCCACCTTCTTTCCTTAGGGTTCGATGACTCCCCCCTCCACTGCTTACTCTAATTACAGCCCATAAGTATTTCTTGCCTCTTCTGCCCTCTAGATCCTGGGTGGAAATGCTCTAGAACTTTAAGACCCTGTCTCTTGATAAAATGGATATACAATTTCAAAAGTTACAGAGTCTCTGGACATAAGAAAGAAGCTACAGTTAAGGTCTTAAAAGATTATAATTGGCAAAGGTGATCAAGAACACCGAGGTGTGGCCCGCTCTTATCCCTGTTTGCAGAATTCATCTTGTTGCTCTCAGGGAGGCTTTGGAGTCCAGCCATGACACTTAGCTTTCTTATAAGTAGAAGAACAGCCAACCTGGAATGTAGTTAACAACCCCAAAACTGCAAAGCATTTTGCAAATACAGTTTGCTATAAATAAATGCCATTTGCTTTAGGCTAAATCTGTATCCTACAGCACACAGTGGATGAATTTCCCCAATAGAATATTGTGGAATGAGAATATTGGCATCCTCGATATTCAGAATCTCATTGTGAATGAGCCCATGGCCTTAGGTGTGTACATACTGACCCACCTAGACTCTGGAGCCATGCAAGGATGATAAAAGTGACTGACCAATCCTCATGCAGGGTCTGCTCTGCTGGTAGGAACTGACAGGTCATGGAGGTGGATTAGTTGTTATGAAGTAAATTGGTACAGTTCCTCTAGGATTCTGGGACTGCTTAAGAATCTCTCTCCTGAGTTGGTGCCCAAGGCAATGAGATGCTAATGACATCACAGCTAGAACTACAGAGGTAGTTCATTAGGCAGCAAAAAACCCAAATGCAAACTAATTAGATCCTAGCTCTTGGAGACAGCTTAGGATCTATGGGAAAGAAGACATGGGGCAAATGAAACACAGCCATGGTCAACTGCGCCCTGGAGCTCACGGGCAGCCTGCATTCCATCCCTCTCCAGCCAGTTCCTGTTCACACCGGGTGTCCTGGAGTTCTCTGAATTCATACTTCCATCCATGCACTCTAGCTCAGATTAGTCTCTCAGGATGTCTGGTCACATCTTTGGACAGAGGTTCAAGTCACCCTGGATGACTTAAATTGAACTCCTAGACTTGCCATAAGACTGTCTCTAAAATCTGAATAAAGTACAATGTGATGGATTAATAATCAAGGGAAAGAGGAGAAGGCGTAAACTGGCCACTTCTCTCTACTCCTCTGTATGAGACAATGAGTGCTTGGGGCCAGTAACTGTCTTTATCTTGGAAACTCCTTTCCTAGTTCAGGTGTATCCATAGCCATCTTCTGTCTCTGTCTCTGTCTCTGTCTCTGTCTCTCTCTCTTTCTCTCTCAATAAATACAGTTAGATAGACGTATATCCATGGATATAAGTTTTTTGGGGAAGAGTAAAGGGGCTGAATACAATAACTCATGATCACAGATTTAAAATTTAAAAACAAGTTAAACATAAAGAATAAAACCAAATCATTTGTAAACAGCTAGCCCCTTACTAAACTTTAAACAATCAAGTGGCAAGAACAAAGCAGTATTTCAGCAACAGCCAACGATCTGTCTCTAGCCGGGACCTCTTCCACGAGTGTAACACAGCCTCATTAATAGCTTGCTT